CGCTGGAGACCCAGGATTGCTGGAAAAAAAGGTAATTATACAGTATTGATGTCATTAAAGGCTGCAGGGATGCTCCATTGAAGAGGGGGGAGGGGGTAACTAAGCCCAGAGTTGAGCTTTAAAATAGAGCTCTGGGCAAGAAAAAAATGTAACCCCACACTGCAAGGGTTAACTGCTCTTTTTGGTATACAGCAGGGGTGGGCAACTGCGGCCCTCCAGCTTTTGTGAAACTAAAAGTCACATGAGGCATTGCAAGACTCTGCTAGCCACAGGCATGACTCCCAGAGGCAGAGGCATGTTGGGATTTGTAGTTAAAGCACAGCTGGAGGGCCTGAGTTGCCCACCCTTGCCCTAGACCAAAACGAACACTTAACCCTTGCAGTGCAGGGGATAGTCCCTCTGCAAGGGATATGTTTTTAACTGTCTAGAGTTCTTCTTTAAAGGCTTTGGAATCAAGGATTAATGTTAGGTTTAAGAATTTTTTTGTCATGTGAAGGGTTTGGTTGAAGATTAAGTGGTGGTATTATGGGTAGGCTGCCCTTTAGGTTTTAAAGTGTCTTTCCACTTTTGCAGCCAATTTCAAATAACACCTATTTTATATTCCTTGCAATTTCCTGCAAGATCCACTTTAAGTGCTCTCACAGCTTAACAAATCAGGCCCATTGTGGCCTCAGCAGCTCATATTCTGGGGTATACATGGTGAGTGCCGGGTGCAGTGACAGCACAAGGGGAGTGCGGGGGGTTCGGCCCGCACCCGGTTAACACCATTGGTGGGGTCAGGGCCGGCCTTAGGCCTTTAGGCGCCCTGTGCGAGAAACTTTTACAGCGCCCCTCAGTGGCCACACCCTTTAGTGGCCACACCCCCAGTAACCACACCCATTTATCACCCATATTTTTGGTAAAATATAAAAAGACGGGGTCACGTCGGGTAAGTAGACAGTGACAGCAAAATGACTGTCACCCCCTCTAAAAAGTCGGGCACCCGGTCATGGACCGAGAGCCCGACAGTGTCAGGAGGGAGGAGGGGACCTGGCAGCATACCTCATCCCCCCGGGTGAATGTCCCCTCCTCTTTCTAGTAGGCGTCAATTAAACGACCGTGTGTGTGCGATGACATCATCGCGCACACGCGTGGTGACGTCACATGAATGCGTGATGACATCACTTCAGGGTGTCACCCGGTCTACGCTCCGGGGGACACCCGGCCTCGGGGCGCCCCTGGCCGAGTGCATACAACTCATTCCGTTTAATAGCAATTTAAACATGGAGAGCCTTTTCAAACTTTTTGAAAAACATTTTCCATACACAAGTACACCATGTACAGTACACAAGACCTAATATTTAGTTTTATTAACTTAACATGTTTATATAGCACTGACATATTACGCTTTCAGAATACACGGTATTCCAGCATTTACATCAGTCCCCAAAGGAGCTCCCATGTACCTACCACAGTCATATACACACTAGGGTCAGACACCAGCTGACCTGGGGGGATATTTTTGGATTATGGGAGGAAACAGGAGCACTAAAGGACACCCACACACAAAAACAGTTCTAGGTAAAAATAAGTACTCTAGGTTTTAGAGCACTCAAGAAGAAATCTGCTATCACCTCCAGGAACATTTTATTTATACGACCAGAATTAGGGTTGCCACCTGTCCAGGATTCACCCGGACAGTTCGGGTTTTGAATGCTGTGTCCAGGTTTCATGGCAGCAGAAACTCGGACACAAGATGTCAGGCAGACAGAGGCAACCAAAAGGAAGATAGGGGCTATTGGCCCCCTACTGAAAATAATCTCAACTGTGATCGTTACATATGAATAGGTGGCAATTTTTATATATGAATAAGCCACGACTCATTCTCCCAAAAAAATGTCCACGCGTCGATTGAGTGTTCGGGTTTCGCTTGAAGAAAAGGTGGCAACCCTAACCAGAATAGACATCTGAGACGATTGGCAGGTCAGCTTTAATGCCTAACTATGTAAATATTAAATACCCTGCGCTGGTGAAAATAATAATACAATATCATTGCAATACTCTCCTATCTCTGGCTCTGTCCCCCCGCAGTCTCACTGTTCTGTAACCCAGCAGCGCTCCGCTTGCAGGTTAAATGACACCATGCATCATTCATGTCACTTCCTTTGAGAGCAGGGCGTCAAGGACCCACCCCCTAAGGGTAACCACCCAGGGCTACTAGAGAAGTCTATAGAAAACAGCACCATGTCATTAGGTCACACTGTTACCACAGCATTTAGGACCCCCCCCCCCATGTGAGGAAGAAGAGGACCTGTTAAGTCATGTGATTAGACTGAAGATTCATTAAAAATGGTACCTATGCGAAATAAAAAGTATTGGGTAGGGGGGAGTAGAACCTCAAAGCCAAAGCTTTTTTGGGGTTCTGGATAGAGTAGGAAAGGGTTAGAACGCTGGACAATGTCCCAATGTGTGTTGGTATATGAATTTGGAGCATGCATTGGCCACAATAGGTCCACTCTGCTACTGATTGACAACAGGCAGTGAGCTCACTGCCAGTTCTGCCTGTTGTCAATGAGTAGCAGGGTGGACCTAATGGGGAACTAGTACCTCAGCATCCCCATTAGGCTTTACCCACTGTCAGCATTACTGCTTGTTAAGGGCGCTGTCGGCTGTAATTATTATATTGTTTAAGTGGTTACTGTGTAATATAAGAAAACGCTTGATGTTCACCTAGAAAGAAATTCATTGCAGCTGTCAGCGACATGTTTGCTTTTTTTTTTATAACAAAGGCTTTGATATAACAATCTCAGTACTTTGTTAAAAAACAAAGGATAAGTGTTAGTGTAAAACTGGCCGTAGCCGAGGGGGCTGAATAAGAAAAAAGGCTTGATTCCCCCCTGTCAATGCTAAACAGTGTGAATGGATGAATCTCCCGATAGGTTATTGTAGCCTTTCTTATCTAGGGTGTCATGGCACCCGGGGGTTCCTTCTGCCTACCTCAGGGGTGCTTCAACATTTTCCTGCAGCGTCTTGTCTTTCCATGGTGCATGCCCTGTGAATGGGTGGAGCCCCTGTGAATGGGGCTCCCAATGAGAGGGGAACTGTGGAAACAGGGGACTTTGATATGAAAAGGTGGGATTTGATGTGAAAGGGGGGCTTCTGATGTGAAGAGGGCTCCTGATGTAAACGTGCGGTCTTTTGATGTGAAGAGGGCTCCTGATGTGACAGGTGGGGTCTTCTGATTGGAAGAGGGCTCCTGATGTAAAGGTGGGGTCTTCTGATGGGAAGAGGGCTCCTGGTGTAAAGGAGGGGTCTTCTGAAGTGAAGAGGGATCCTGATGTAAAGGTGGGGGTCTTCTGATGGGAAGAGGGCTCCTGGTGTAAAGGTGGGGTCTTCTGATGTGAGGAGGGCTCCTGATGTAAAGGTGGGGTCTTCTGGTGTGAAGAGGGATCCTGATGTAAAGGTGGGGGTCTTCAGATGGGAAGAGGGTTCCTGATGTAAAGATGGGGTCTTCTGATTGGAAGAGGGCTCCTGATGTAAAGGTGGGGTCTTCTGATGTGAAGAGGGCTCCTGATGTAAAGGTTGGGTCTTCTGATGGGAAGGAGGGACTCTGATGTAAAAAGAGGGGGCTCTGATGTGAAGAGGTACTCCTAGTGTCAGAGGGGGGACTCTGATGTGACAGGTGGGAGTTCCTAACGTAAAGGAGCTCTTAATGTGAAGGGGGGCTCCTGGTGTAAAGGTTGACTCTGGTGATTAAGGCCAGATTCCAATATGAAGCGGGGCTTCTGATCTTCCTGAGAAGAGGGAACCCCTTTGTTTTTAAATAGGTCCCCCCTTAAAATCTATACCAGACCCCCTATCTGTGATAGGTGTCTGGTATGGATTTTGGAGGTGCCACGCTTCCATTCTTACTATTGTGATTTTTATATTTTAGAATGGGGTGCCTCGAGATTTTGTATACCTTTAAAGGGTGCTGTCACTACAAAAAGTTTGAAAAATGTTGACCTATTGTATTCTGACAGTGGGTGTGCTGCTGTCAGAATACCTAACAGCGAGTGCAGCTGATTGACCATTGTCAGTGTTTGGCCAAGAATTTTTGGACCGGCTTCCCCAACGTCGAAAAAGGAGGAAAGGAGCGACGGCTATTAGGGCCACATGCTGGCCGAGTTTCGAGTGGCATATGGCCGGCTTTAGGGTTAGTTTTCACCATACTGGCAGCTTTGTTGATATGATTTTTTTTTCAAACGAATTTTACCAGGCAATCCACAGTGCAAAAATCTAGGTGAATTTCAACAAAGGGCGCGCAATTGTTTTCTATGAGGGGAATTGATCAAAACTGGAGCACACGGGACTAAGGATGGGCTCGGGCGTGTTCGCAGCTCCACGTGCCGAGCCCGCCAGGAAGCTCACAGCGTGCAGTGCCAATCACAGGCACTGAGACATTTCCCGATCTCTGCAGCTGCGGACCAGGAACTTGTCTCAGTACCTGTGATTGGCGCTGCGCGCTGTCAGCTTCCTGGCGGGCTCGGCACGTGGAGCTGCAAACACGCCCAAGCCCATCCTTACATGGAACCTGGAGCAGTTGCCCATGGCAACCAATCAGCTTCTAACTTTCATTATAAAAGCTTAACACATTGAAGAGAGAAGCTGATTGGTAACTATGGGCAACTACTCCAATTTTGATCAAATTCTCCTGTGTGTCCTGGCATTGGACCTTCGTTGATTCTGTGCAAATCAACGCAGCTCTGCTGATATGGTGTGAACGAGTGTCTTACATCAGCGGTAGATGTTGCAAAGAAAACTTAAATATGACTTGTAGTTCTGTTTGCAGTCAGTTGTAGCCCCCCCCCCGTGATTGGTGACCGCTGCGCTATACGACACATGAGCAGTGCAGCAGCGCCCTCTGCTGGCTCTATGCTTTCCATACAGCGTAACGGCTGGTACTATGGTGAGCACGGAACCTTAGTGATGTGCTGTCTGTTCCTGTGGGGGACGGATTGTTGCGCGGACGCATTACACACACGCCTGGTGTTGTCAATGAATGTCACTTTGCTGGGCAGGGATGCGGTGCAGAGCTGTGATGGCGGGGATCTGCGGCCTGAGGGCCATACGGGGCAGTAAGTGGGGAGCACGGGGGAGGGGAAGTAATGAAGGACACAACTCACTACACTGATCTTCCATTGGTCAGGGACTGCTTAGGTTTAGCATGACACCATTGGTTGACAATGTGAACCTAACAGAAATTTGGAGGCTGCCATTGCTGACCTACTGCTGAAAATGCTGGTTGCCTGGCTGTTATACGGACTTGCATGTATTGTGCAGATTAGTCCCTGTTCACACCTTGCTGTTGCAAGAATGCAACTCTTCAAAATGTGCCACATGCTTGTGTTGTCATTATTTGTTAACAGCACCCCGAACATGGCTGGTAAAACACGCGTTCTTCCCCATGTTTGGCAATTGCGCACCAGTGCACGACAAACACAGAATGCTTGCAGCTAAAAATGCTGCGTGAGCTACTTTTCTGCACTTGTATGTGTGGCAGCCTTCGGCAACATGGGCTCATGCGTGACAGTAAAAATGCACACGAATGCGCGTTTGTGTTCAAGTGCATAAATGCAGCGCTAGATGTGAACCTAAGTCTGCAGCCTCCATGTATCTCTCAGGAATTGTTTCCAGTAAGAATGTGTACCCCAAAAATGGATGACACCTACTCATGTTTGTGGGCGCATTGTGGCCAAGGGAAGGCCCTAGATATATAAATATTTTTTCTGGACGAGTCTTAAGGTGGCCACACGAGTAGTGATTGGTGATCCCAAACAAAAGATCCATCATCAATTAAAATATGGACCAATGCGACGCATGCGGTATTGATTGAACATACAACCTGTCAGAAATTATCTACTGAAAATAATCATCGATCTGGGTTCCGATCATTTGTCTTGCACACATGCAGATATTTGTTCAATTGATCAATTCTGCTACGGCCAATCGATTTGAGAGTGGCGAAATTGAGCAACAGTTTATTAAATCGATCGAATGGGGGGGCGAGGGGGTCTCTGGTTTGCTATTCTGTTTTCAGTTCCATCATTTTTATTGCATTGGTTGAATCATCATATCGTCTTTTTTTATTTCCTTAGGGAGACCCAGTCATGAGAGTAAACAAACATAGCAGAACACGTGTGTTATATCTGCCATTCGCACCTCGGTTGCTTCCGTCCTATTCTCTCCTGCAGAGCGAAAGCTACTGTTAAGGTCCCCATACACCTTACGAAGATCGGCCAAATTTCGTTTGCGATCGGGTTTTCGGCCGATATTCATAAGGTTGATGGGCAGTGTACAACCGCAAATACTGTACAATCATACGGCTTCGTCTTTCCAGCATGCTAGAAAACTTCGGTCGATCGTACAATTGTCGCAAGATTGGTGGCGTTTCCGTACATCAAAATTCGTACGATTAACACTGCCCATGCGCAAACGAAAATCCGTGCGGTCGATTAACCAAATTCGTCCATGTGATCTCTGCAAAATACTGCGAATTGAACTGTGCGATGGTCGAGGCAGGATGGGGCCGCCGTACGGAAATCGTACAATGGTTCGATCCGTCCGATGATTGCAAGGTGTATGGGCACTTTTACAGCTTTCAGCATCTGGCACTTTTGGGTGTGTTGTACGCCAGTGTCTCCCCACTGTGACCACCTCTGCCCCCTTTTCCTGCTTTTACAGTAGTGTGTCCCTCAAGATAGGGGTGGACAAATTAAAATGGAACTCAGTCCCTCAAATTCAGGAAGCAGCAAGATTTTCTTTAGGAGCCAGCTCCATTGACAACCCTAAAAGTAAGAGCCGGGTGTAAATTGTAAGACTCCATTCACACTGGAGCGGGCGAATATTCGTGGAGCCGCTCTAAACTGGGAAAAAAAAATGCACTGTAATGTATGAGACCGTGCGGCACCCAAAATAGTACAAGCGTGATAATACGGCGGATTCCGCACGTTCGCAGCTATATAATAACTGCAAACGAGCGGCATCCGTGCTCTGGTATAAAAACCATTGTGGGAAACGCAGATTCTATATGTGAATGAAACCTGGGGAGCATTGGCTACCTGACTCCTGGGATTTGGCCAGCACTGGTTTAAAAACCGCTTGGAGTGATATAGCAGGAAGACACAATGGGGAGTATTTATCGAAACTGGAGCAGTTGGCTATGGCAACCAATCCGCTTCTCACTTCAGTTTGTTCAGTTAACCTTTGAAAATGAAAGATAGAAGCTGATTGGTTGCCATGAGCAGCTGCTCCAGATTTTGCCCTTAATACATAGTAATGTGCAAACCAAGTTCCCATGATCCCGCCCAATTCTATGGAAAACTGTCACTGACACCTGGCGCAGCCGTTTGAGACAGGGGCATTCCCTGCTGCTGTTGTCGTGTAGCTGTGGGGCAAGGAAGGCCGCGGTCCCACCTGAATGTATTTTTACAGGTGTTTCTAGCTCTGCAGGAGTGTGATAATTGCATGCAGCAGAGGCACTAATGAGAGTACAGTGTTACCTCGGTTCACGAACGCTTATGTTCGTGAACTCCGCATCGGGTGACGAACACAACCACAGCCATCCTCCCCACTCTGACACTGGTCGTGGCTTCCTCTAGTCGAGATCGCGGTCTGATCACAGTTTGTTTCGGTTCACGACCAGAATCGTGGAACAAATTAAGTTCGTGAACCGAGATAGCGCTTTATAGTGCATGGATTTTATAAGATTGTATTTTTTGAACTTACATAATACGATGACAGCGTCTTTTTAAAGTGCTCTTAGTCCAAAATGTTTTTCTTTAGTTTTGGATAGAAGAGGAAAGGGTTTTAACACCTATACCTTCAATCTTTGCTGTCTGTCTCACATTGAGGAGAGTTCCTGTCCCAGAGACACAACAGGAAGTGAGAGGAAATCTCTACAAAGTCAGTGTAAAGCTGGCCATACACTGTTAGATTTTCTCTCGCTGGGCTTTTGCATGCTGACAGCGTCGGGAGTACCATTGTCAGAATACCCAGTGACTGTAGAAGATTGGCTGACGTCACTATTCGCCCACTATTTCTGATCAAAGGTTGCCGAATGGAATGCTGCAGAGAGGACTACCCACTGAGTGAATTTTGGCCGGTTCATCAAGAACTGGCTGAAATTCGGACAGTGTTTGGACAGCTTTACACTCTTCTTAGACCAGGGGTGGCTCCAGCCCTCCAGCTGTTGTGGAACTACAAGTCCCGTGAGGCATTTGCAAGACTCAGTTACAGGCATGATAGGATTTGTAGTTAAAGCATAGCTGGAGGGCTGATTTTGCCCATTCCTGTCTTAAGCTGGCCATACACCTATAGATTATCTGCAGATTTTCTGCGGTCAGATGGAAAAAGTGCAACAGGTTCTTCCATCTACGCTAAACTGTGTGGATTGAGGAATTTCCCACTGGGCCAAGCTTCAGTATCTTGCTAGTTGGCCCCGCTGGCTCTCAAAATACCTGAACAATGATTGTTCCCTTCTCTGCTGATTGACAGCAGGCAGTGGGCGGGTACAATAGCCAGCCTGCTATTGCATTTTGAAATAGACAATAGCAGGCTGGCTATTGCTCCCAGCCACTGCCTGCTGTGTTGACATTCAGCTGCCTCAGGAGGCAGCTGTCATTCCCCAGTGAAGTGGAAAGGCGACACTAGGGGTCTAAAACACCCCCTAATGTCACCTTAAAGAGAACCTATCACCTCCAATGGGCTATTACAGATGAGGCTTGTGAGCCCCCCCCATGTGATAGTAATGAGGTAAAAAATAAAGTTAAAATTAAAAATACCCTCCAAAAATGTTAAATCTCCTAACCCCACAAATGCTCACATACTAACGGAAACACAGGTCGGGTGCACCTACACAGAAAAACGACGATTGCGCTGCACATGTCGGGTATCGCCACGTGCGCCGGAGTGAGAGCAATAATTCTCGGGGCCAATATTCATGGTGAACTCTAAACTGATGACTGAGCTTTTATATTTTTATTAAAAGTTTGGTTATTTTATTATATTGACTGACATACACAGAGTCGTGTACCCTGTCACAATATATATATATATATGTATGTGTATATATATATATATATTATTAGGGATGTACCGACACTAGTATCGGGGCTGCGGGGCTGATACAGGGCATTTTCACGAGTACTTGTGAAAATGCCCTGATACTGAAGGCCAATACTGGCCCCTTAAATGTTTTAATCTGATCGGCTGTCTCAGATCCCGTGCTTGTGGGGTCCCAAGGCAGCCTTCCGGGACCTGACAGTAGCTGCGTTTTACACTGCCTGCCTGGTCCCACATCTCCTCCTCCTGATTTCTGGTGCAGGCACACCTTGAATACAGCCTCGGAGCAGGCACGGGAACGGCACCTGCTCCGTTCGGCTCATTACGCGCCCGTGTCAGCATGGAGAGACGCAATATACAGCCCTGGAAAGACTCATGGCAGCCGCTGGTGAGACCTGGACGCAGCCTGGTGACATCTGGAGTTATAAATATATAATGTGTGTGTGTGTATATATATAATATATATATATACACACACACACACACACACGTCATTGTTGGTTTCGAGCCTGAAAATTCTGCTCCGGGATGTGCATTATGGTGCCATTAATTTCAATGACATCTAAACATTATGGATCGTTTATCAAGGGAGATCCTTTAAACTGGGCCAGTGCAAGATGGACTTAAAACCATGCAAGGATGACACTCTGTTCCTTATTGACAACCATGAGAGAAACCTTGGCCTCCTCAAGGACAGAAACTTGAATCGCCTTTGTTTTCTTTCTCTTCCCTCTTTTTATTCCTCTCTCGCTCTCTACTCCTTCTGTTTGCTACTCTCCTCTATACCGCTCTGTTTCCATGTATTCTTCTTGTCTTCTCTTCAGTTGTTTCCTTATTTTTCTCTGTTACAGTTACACTGTCTATAGGAACCTTCTACAGGAAGAACCCCAGATGTTTGAGCATTCTGTAACGATGGTGGTTTGGGATGACCTTGTTCTACAATGTACTATTTATGTTATTGTTCAGTAGTGAAAAGTAATAAAAAATGGATTGAATTAAAAAAGTGGGGACAGGAAGATGAGAGTACACGGGCTGACTCATTAAGCTTACAGTCCCGCTGTATTCGTGTCACAGTTTCTAGGAAACCTGTATCTTGGAAAGGACAGCATGGGAGGTAAATGTAATTAACACATTACATTTTCCTCCCACTGTCCTTTCCAGAAATAATTCCTGGAGTTCTCCGTTACACTTTGGTCAAACATCCTCAGAGAGAAGCCTTGCAATGCTTGATGCTGGGGGCAGTAAGAACTATAGAGCAGCTGGAGAGAGCAGCAAAGTCTGCAAGACCAATCCATAGCTATGGCAGCTTGGACCTTGTTGTGCCATAGACCTGTGATTGAGGTACACAGCTTATTTGTGCTGCTGAAGCAAAGTGAACAGAGGAAGCCAAAATATATGGATAGAACTTTAGGGAGAGCTGTCACTACTCACAACCAAAACACATTCTCTCTATCTCACTATATTAATATAATTCTTTTGATATCCTCCAGGGTTCTACACTGTTGCTGCAGCCACTAAGCTGTCCAATGCTGAGATTTCACAGAGACGCTCGACACTGTATGATAAAGAGAAGGAGAGGCAGCTATCCTTGCATCCTCTAACTGAGAAGATAGAGGTGACCCATGTTGGGAAGACCGATCCTGGAACTATTTTTGTGATGAACAAGGGGATCTCCACTCCTTACAACTGTGCCATGCGTAAGTATGTGACTTGTATAGACTTTGATGTGTAACTCTAACCTTCCTGTAGGTGAGTTATGTACAGTACTCTGGGAAAGTTTTAAGCACTTGTGAAATGGTGCTGTAAAGTCAGGATGCTTTTAATAATAAAATGAATAGTTTTATTGATCACATACATCATCTACAGATTGCAACAAAGAGCATAAACAGAGACAAAGCCTAAAATAAAATCAATATTCAGTGTCTACCCTTTCCATTTAACAGAGCCTCTGTTAAGTCTTAAAAAGGCATTCAAGTACCTTAAAAGAGAACTATGGGGTAAGTGTTTTCCCCCTTGTTTTCTTAGGGGTCATGGGAGGACATGTACTAGTGTCCTCCTGTGATCGAAGGCTCAGTATATCGCAAGCTACTGCTCGCTATATACTGAGAGCACCACAGCCGAGACGGATCCCGTCATTACTGTCTAGATCCACCCAGCTGCGTGAGTGACAGCTGGCTCTGCCTATCTAGAGTGTGTGTGGCTGCTGATATTACCACAAACCCAGGGAGCTACACCCTCCAGAACGTAAAAGGTCTGATTCAGTTGGCGATCTCTTTAAAGGAGAACTATGAGGTGAGTGATTTCCACTCATCCTCATAGTTACAGCCGACCTGTGACAAAGATGCTGTCACAGGTCGGCTCTATAGATCGGGAAGTGAGCGTACACATACTGTCGCTCGCTCACGTCCAAACATCTCCCTGCAGAGAGCCGTGACTGTCAGTCATCACCCCCCGCAAGGATTCCTCCCTCTCCCATCCTCGGGGTGGGCTCTGCCTCTAGATAGGTAGAGCCAGTTGTCACTCATACAGCTGAGTAAATCTTGACAGCATTGTCAGGATCCGTCCCGGCTGCAGCGCTCTCAGTATATCGCGGGTAATAAGATCCCACAAAGCCCTGATCTCCACATCACTGAGTGTGTCTGGGATTACATGAAAAGACACGCAGCTGGGTGGATCTCGACAGTGTTGTCGGGATCCGTCTCAGCTTTGGCGCTCTCTGTATATGGTGGGCAATAGCTTGCGATATACTGAGGTTTGGACCATGGGAGGAGGTTAGTATATGTCCTCCTGTGACCCTAAAGAGAACTATGGGGCGAAACACTTACCCCATAGTTCTCTTTTAAGGGATGTGCTATTAGCTGTGAATATCCAATGATGTGTAAGACAAATGAAACATTTGTTTGCATGTGATTTACAATTGATATATTAGTAAATCAACCAATCTGTGTTGTAGGTAATAATCAGATGACTTGGCGTGAATTGTTTAATCTGATTTTTATTGTGATTCAACCGTCAACAGATGTATATAAATATGTGGGCCACGTTGTACATTCTTTGTATGATATAAAAGTCTTTTCACTTCAGTTTTTACATTGTTAGCGCATAATATTAGAGATATCAAATAGAGATATCCATCCATATGCAGGAATTTCTATTGGACTGCAATTTAGGTCAGTATTCTCTGTATGTCGTAAATCTTATCGTGGGAAAGGCAACCTGTGGAAGGAAGGAGGCAGAAGTTGGGAGATAGGGAAGAGGGTGGTGGTGAGTGAGAAAGAATAATGTAAGGGAAAACAAAGGGGGAAAACGGAACTCTTTTTCAGGGTCGTGGAATAACAATGTTAAAGTAAGCAAGTCTGAAAAAATGTAAAAGTCCAAAGGGCCCAAGTGTGGGTAGAATTCTCCAGTCGTTCATTTTTGTTTTTCCATTCTCATAATGTAATCCATTTCTACAATCCACTCTGCCATTGTCAGGGCATGCTGGAAGCGAGGATTAGGGGCTCTTGTTACCATTGTGGAGATGTAGGATATCCTTTTTTTGGGGTATGGAAGGTGATTAGGTACAAATTAATATCCAGAACCACCTTCTAAAGGTCCCCAAATAAAATAGATCACTAGATGTCTAGAGAATAAACAGAGGTCATCTTCCCCTGTGCTGCCAGCCATGTTTTATCTAGAGGTGCGGTTAAGAATGTTATTCTCATTATCAAGGCAAGATCAGGCATCGATCACTGTTATTTTTGTCCAACAAATAAAACCTGCTCATTGCTATTTTCAGAGTCTGTATTAATCATCCAGTGTGCTGGTTTTCCTAGTGTGAAACAGCTGTTGGCTACAGATCCATAGCTCTGCAGTTGTAAAGGATAACTACATGAAAAAGCCTTATTTCATTATGCATTGGATACAAGACTTGTTACCTTAATATTAGGGGTGTATTGTTATGGAATTTTTAGACCAAAACCGAAATGACAAAAATTTGTCAGGACGAAACTAAAAATGACTTGATGATGATTATTTTATTTCTATAATTTTTTTTTCTTTACTGTTAGTGGTTTTGGGGAAATATCAGGGGTCTCAATAGACTCCTTTTTTAAATGGAAAAAGAGATTGAGGCACAGAGTCCTAAATCTCTTTTTCTGCAGCCACTGTTATGAATGAACAGGAAGCCTTTATACTGAGTGCTCTTGTCCATTTCATAAGGAGATAGTATTATTTACTAGAGCACTTCCTGTTCATTCATAACTGGGGACACAGTAAGCATACTATGTGCTCAGTTATTTACCAACACTTAGGCCTGGTTCCCACCTGAACGTTTTGTAGCGCGTTCAACGCTCGACGAACGCTCTACAAAACGCTCAAACATCTAAATCCCATTGTATTCAATGGGTCTGGTTCACACCTTGCTGTATTTCCGCCCGTCCGAACGCGATACAAAACGGCCTACGCCCAAAGAAGTACATGTACTTCTTTGGGGCGTTTTGGTCTCGCGTTTCCATTGGGATACAGCCAAGTAGCCATCGGAAACGGGCGTTTGTCGCACCGCGAAACGCGGTAAAAACGCGCGACGTGAAACGCGCATATTCAATACGACTAGGTGTGAACCCAGCCTAAGCAATCAGAATTGATCGCTGAGTGTTTGTACTCTGCTCTCCATTACTGACTGCTCCTCCTGTCACAGTGGCAGTGTGGGAGGAGAGCTTGGCCTCCTGTGACAGCTGTCTCCAACCCCTGCTGGCCTCCTGACAGCTTCTCTCTTCACCGCTGGATGCCGGTCTGTGTCCCCTCCGATCCCTGCTGATTGGCGTGTCCAGCTCTCCGGGCCAGGCCTCCGTGTCCAGCTCTCCGGGCCAGGCCTCCGTGTCCAGCTCTCCAGGCCAGGCCTCCGTGTCCAGCTCGCCAGGCCTCCGTGTCCAGCTCTCCGGGCAGATGGGCATGTCAAGCTCTCCGGCCAGGCCAGGTGCCCAGCGGGGAGGAAAGAAGCTAGGAATGCATTGCATTTTCGGCTGAACTTGTTTGCTTTGGTACTATCGGTATTTTGCCATAGTACCATTTTCGGACAAAATGTAATCTATCATATCTTATGTATGTGTTATGTTTAGTCTGAATTCTAGGCAAGCAGACTTCCTGTACGGTGAAACCGTTGTCGGCTTGACAGAAAACGAGGGTAAATCTCTCTATTGGAGTCCCAGATAGCAGTAAAAACCCCACAGGAGTTCTGATCTTTCCCCAACCATCCAAAGCTAGAAAACATGTTTTGGCTTGGCATGCACTTTAAGGCCCCATTCACACTGAGCGATTTATCGAGCGATTTTTGCAGCGATATCGCTCATATTTCCACGCGATATTGCTCCATGTAGCTTCTCCAATCCATTTCAATGGAGCTGTTCACATCTCGTCGCTCAATATTGCTCAGTATCGCTTGTAGCTCCTACATGACCCTTTTTTTGGAGCCATTTCGAGCGATTTTGCTCCTGATTGCATACAGCCCAATAGGAAAAAGTCGCTCAATATCGCTCAATATCGCTCGTCGCTCAGTGTGAATGGGGCCTAAAGTGGAACTATACTTTAGGTTAAATACATTGCAAGAAGGCAGGTTTTTTTTTATTGCAGAATAGAAATCCTTCCCTTTGGAAAAGTTCCCCTCACTGCCTGTTCTTATAACGGCTCTAATATGTTAGATTAATATGTCACATTCAATTCCAGTGACTATGGCCACCAGGACAAAATGAGAGGGTGCAGGAACCCAGGCTTCAGTAAAAGCCTGTGACTTAATATCTCTGTGTTCTACCCTAAAATAATAATTATTACGTGACTAAGGAAGCTTCTATCACCTCAGAATTGTGTGCACACAGTCACAAAATAATGACTGAAAAGAGTGCAGCGCTAGTGAAAACGAACTACAAACACCACTAAATAGTTAGATGAATAAATATTCTCGTAGCATACAAAAGATATAAACATATATCAATTCAAAGTACATGAAGTTATTAAAGTCCATTAACATATACACTGACTGCCCCCGCACGCCCCCAAAAAAGCCACATACTGTAATATTTCATTGGACCACCTTTTAGCTTTGTTTACGGCACACATTATTACTATTATTATTAGGGATGCACCGATATATCGGCGCCGCAACATATCGGCCAAAAATGGCACTTTTGGCATAATGCCGAAAGAGCCATTTTTCGGCCAATACATCGGCGCATACCCGGTTTCTTTTCTCCCCGCTGGGCGCTGTTCCAGCGGGGAGAAAAGAGAGTGACAGCCTGCCGAGCGCTGCAGGACGAGAGCACTGTGAGCGGCCGGCGTCTCTCCTCCCACACCGCTCAGCCGCCTATCACAGTCCGGCAGAGCGGTGTGTGGGCGGAGACAGCTCGCTCTGTCACAGAAGGCTGAGCTCTCCTCCCGCACCGCTCGCTCAGCCTCCTGTGACAGCTTGTCAGAGAGAAGAGCAAGGTACACACACTCAGCGATCAGTGATTGCTGAGTGTGTGTACATAATTGAGGACATGGTATGTTAACTATATCCTCAATTATGAATGAATGGGAGTGATCTACATCACCCCCATTCATTCATAATTGTGGTTATAGTAAACAAACAATGTTATCAATGAACAGGAACACTCATAGAGGATTCCTGTTCATTGATAACAGGGGACACAGAAAAAGAGATTGAGGACTCAATCTCTATCTC